GTTCAGTAATGGAGAGGTGGACAAAATCTATTATACTTCAAATGCACAGAAAAACAATATCAGACAAGATTCCTCGTCAGTGAAGGATCCATCTTTGTTTACAGTTGGCACAATATTGCACACGCTCCAGTGGTTGCCTGGTTACCGGACACAATGACATACACTGAACCTTTTCTGCACTTGTATTTATGAATAATAACGTGTGTTATCCTAATTAAAATTAGAAAAGTGTTTCTGCTACTATGCGCGACTGAAATTCTTAGACCAGATTCAATTTGACACACACCATGCTGAGCCTTCGATGAGATCAAACAGTGACCTGTGTAATGCTCAGAGTACCTAAGGAATCCTGAACAGATGCCCTCCCAAGAAGGTGACGCGTTTTCCTGAGGGAAGGCGTGGACTGCCAAAGACGATCTACAGTACATGTTGCTGGGTAAAGGATCTTTTGAGCAATCTGCTGGTAATCAAATATTTGATACCCATCTACAGCTAGGATTAAATCCAACCCAGACACTAGTCAGCCTCAGGGTCACCTGTGGTCGAACAGCTGTACTGCGGGTACTGGGTGAAGGCCACAGCTCTCTCCACTCCATCTTTCTCCATCTCCTCAATAGCCTCTTCTGTCAGCGGGTGGACATACCGGAATCCAATGTAGAATTTATGGGGAGCTTCATTTGAACAAGAAACAGAACAGTTAGCATGCAGGTGTGGGCGAGTTGTTTGCCAGGTGACACAGAATACAGCAGGAATATGCACTAATGTAGCTGTCACCCATTTAAATCAGTCACACACGCATACACATACTAACATTTGGGGAAGAAAGAGGTCACAAAGAAAGGCCATTAGACACAAATAAAAAATCTCAATCCACCTGTCAAAAGCAAAGTACAAATGCTATATATACGACTGCCCTCTGTTTTCCTATGCCTGCCCTTGCACAAAAGCGATATTTCGAAGGTTTGAGTTATTCTGGGACGTTATCCGAATGCAAAATGAAGACCCAAATAGCTACATCCCAGTCCTGACAATTTTTGAATCGCTGATCACCGAGAAGGGATTTAAAATCTGCTCCTGCTTGTCGGTGTCTTGGAAATTTTGAAGCATTGCAGCCTCCAGCAGGGAAGGGCCACCTCTTCTGTGACTGTGAGGGCCAAGGTTTGGAGGCAAGGGCTCGAAAAAGTGTATAATATCCCTGCACACGTTATTCAAGAAGAAAGAAACACTGACACGTGTTTTAGCATGATGTATAGCAGTTTCACTGAAATACGCCCTGTGTAAAGGCTGTGCGAACTCCGTGTTACAGAAGTTACATCACCTGGTGAAACCTAAAAAGTACAGTTTTAGCTTGTCCTGTCAGCTTAGAAAGGATCCTTCCTTATCAGACAGGACCCAAACTAAAAGCCACGCCACTCCTTTTTATCTAATCAGCACCAGGAAAACAGCTTTCAACACCCATCTCCTGTCTATCAGTTGAGGGCAGAGCACATTTAACGTCTAACGTTTTTACAGACACCAAGCAGACAGACAGAAACCCAAGTCATTTTCATTATCTTGGCTCAAACCATTTTTTTTTTCTGAAGTGTAAAAAAAGAGAGCAATGGTACGTTACTTCTAAATGTATGATACATTTCTCACAAACAGACTTGACATTCCCAATTTAAATATTGCCCCCTTGATAAAATCCCCACTTGGCAAAGAGGTTCAATAAATTACAGTAGATCACACTGTTTAGAGTGAAATGTTATATCCATGTGTATGATCTTATATGATATTTGTGAGAAATTGTCTTCACTTTGCCTGGAATGTCCTCAGGTGTCTCAGGGCATGTTAGCAGACTGTCTGTGTGGCACAGTGGGAGAAACCAGCCACATCATATCAGCCTTTCACAGACAAGACATGACCAGGGGAGGTCACAATCTTATCAGTACAAAACCAAGAAAACAGGCTCAACCTTACGAGACTCACCCTAAGCACGACAAAGCACCCCTGCACATCAAAATAGAAACTCTAATTAAAGCCAGTCCAGTTCAGCACTTACTGTTCCTGTAAAATGTTTCACCCCACTTTTCTCTGTCTGATAACTCCAAAAAAAGAAAAATGTTTTAGCTGAATCTGTCTCTGAAGTATAGGCTGTCAAAAAAAAACCTAAGTCTGCAAATCTCCAAAAATACCAAATCACAAGTTAAAATATTTTTAGGAGTAGAAAGCTTGAATTTAGATCAGTATGGCAAAGAACTAGAGAGTATAGCTGTTATTGCAGTTTCACAGAACTATTTTGACCTCAGGTCTGTCTCTCTACTTTATCTATTCATTCCCAGTAGGAGTGGGAAAATTCCTGAGTGTTTCTTCTTCTTTTTTTCCCCATGAAGCAATCATGTTAAGAGCAGTCATTTCGGAACAAAACCGCAGCTTATAGCTACTAGAAAATGTGTTAAGATTGTCGACAAAACAGACCACCTCTTGACAAATGTCCTTGTGAAATGAACAATAAACCTCATCTCTTCACACAAACTGTAGTGTTGCTTTTGCTGTCACCAGTATTATAACAAGCAGCAGTGATGTAACAAAATTCCCTTTACAAAATAAATTAAAAACCGATTTTTAAAACTTTTTTCTAACACTCAATCTACGATCGCCAGGTGCCTAGTAACTTAAATTACAAAACACAGAGGGGGATGTGAACCAAGAACACATCCTTCAGACACATACAGGGGACACGTTTTTATCCTGCAGTTCTCAGCATCTAAAGCACAGTTAGCGCTAGTCTGGGGAATGGTGTTGCTTCAGCTGACAATACGAAAAGCTCTGCAAGTTTCCTGGTACAGCTGTTGTGGAACAAATCAGTGATCTCCCATCCATATCTAACACCCTCAACACCATCTTTCCTCAGCTAGTAAAGGACAACAGAAGTATAGTTTGATATAGAGGACAAAAAACAAGATGGCAGACAAGTGTTAAACATCCACCATTTCACACTCTGCCAACCCATGACTGGAAGCATGGAATACCTCCTCCTTCCCTGGAAGCAGCTGATGGAAATCTGGAAATCCAGATGCAAATAGGAGACCATCGCCCCTGGTGCTCTGGTCTGTTTGGCCAAAACCTTCCTCTGCTGAAATGCCTGGTCAGATCAATCCCGCGTCACCACCTGAGAAGGGCAGCGCTGCCGTTCCGGTCTCTTCGAGGACCTCCGCGAACAGCACACGACTGGGAGAGTGGCCTCACCTGTCTCCGGAGACATTTCATCCAGCAGCTTTACCATGCCTTCGCCCTGCAGAGTGGTCCACATCCTTATAGGAGACCCCCCGCCGATCTTACTGTACTGCTCCTGGATCTTGGGGGTGCGTCGCTTTGCAATGAACGGCGCAAGCTTACTGCGTGACACAGGTCGAAGAGGAAAAGAAAAGGACCACTTCATTTGGGAGCAAATAACATGATGCAACACCATGATATGATGAAGGAGAATGCATCGTAAGCAACTGAGAAACAGCCATTATTCAATGTTATAAGATATATAATAAAATAATTGCAACTGGCAATGGGCAGTTTTTTTATTGTCCTACCTACATCACTGTGTTATACTGGTACATTTATTTAACCCCCTTCACCCCCTTCACCCAGTTAAAATCTGCAATGAAAAAAATAAAGAAATGCAAAGCGTTCTAAGACGAGACAGTCTTACTTCTGCACAGGAAGCGTCATCAAATCCCTGTCCATGAAAAGCCGAAACAGGAAATCATGGACGTCCTCGAGCTTCTCGGGTCCCCCCATGTTGAGCATTAAAATTCCCGTTTTGGGTTTCCTGTTGAAGTCGAGAGCAAACGAGCCCATTAGATTCTGACGGCCGACGAGAGAGTGTCAGACACCAAGAAGCACCAGAACTCACGACCACGTTTCAAACACATGAGAGGTGAAAAGGAGGGAAAAAAAAACACTTTCACTCTTCAAATCTCACATACTAATATCCAGCAAAAACAAAGGCAGGTGTACTTTAGGATAAAAGGTAAAACAATACTAGGTGACAATTTTACCCCAGCTGTCACCCTGTTTGTCAGTGGACCACTGCAAGATGACTGCTACTGAAATTAAATGATCTGTATACACTTTCGGTTTTGAACACTGTTCAATTTTTTGCAGGAAACTCAACTTTAAAAGGAAATTTCTAAATAAAAATACAGTACTGCACTGGCATGGCGACAAGGTCAGGTTTGATCTTCGCACACGCCTCTCGCTAATGAGAGCGAGGCAGCAAGACATTTTTTTACACTGCAATAAGTGGTAAAACTGGGTCACTTTCCGAACAGTTTTAAAATGTGAGTGATGGGACGAGATCCACTCACGGTGAACGAGGATGCAAGAAAGACGTTTTGCATTGCTGAATGCGAGACAGAGAAAGAGTCCAGTGTGAGGGCCCCCTTACTTCAGAGTTGCCAGCCTTACTACACATGGCAAACACAAGCAGTGAGACCCAAATGGATAACTATCTGAGGTGTCCATTGCAAAAGTCATGCAGCATGTTTTTATGCTCCCATCTACCCTTTCAGTGGTATTCCACAGACCCATCCATCACCTGTCCCCCATGCTGCAATATCACAGAATGACATGCAGTATAAAAGGGACTGAATAAATAAAGATCAGTTCCATGCCTGCTTTTAAACAGTGAGGGTCCCAAGTAGTGTATTAACAGAATGGGGTTGAAAAAGATCAAGGGACTTGCTCTTCACGATGGGTGAAGCTCAAGACTCTTTCTACAGCCCTGTCTTACCATGTTTCACACATGACAAAAATGAAGGTTTGTTCTCTAAAAACGCTGAGTGGCTTTGAAAGACTGCTCAGATTCATCAGACAGTGGAGTCATGTATATTTGGACAGCTGTACGGTGCAGGCTGGCACTATGTGCTACTGCAGGGGGGGGTGCCTTCTTAGATTTAGGTCATTCTGAAAAGTCTACACGTGCATGCAGTGCAAGTCTCATGACTATTCATTCATGAGTACGCTGAAAAAATCAGCTCCAGCCGGAAACAGACCTGCTTTCCCGAATCTGGGGGCTGGCTCCTACAGCTGGTTTCTTTACTGCAGCAGCTGCTGTGGACTGCCACCTGTACTGCGTACTGATGCACCAGCTCCTGTCCCTGCTGCACCTGGCCACTGGAAGAAAAGGTTCAATTGAATTTTCAGACAGACGAGCAGTTAGTACTGCAAACCGAACCACACAAGACAGGCCTTAAGGAGATAAGCAGGGCGTTTCGCCTGTGCAAGGATTGCAGGGTTGACCGTTTCAGAGAGACTGGATGTCTTGCAATGTGGTCATGCAGTTAATTCAGCTGATGCATACCTCTGGGCACAGATACATGTTTATATGCTGAGCATCAAGGCAGAAATGTACCACTTTTACCTGTAACAAGTTCACAAAAGGTATTATCAGGGTAACAAGAAAAAAATGGTGGTGGTGATCTCTCATTTTATTGAGCACACATGGCATAGGTAAATTCATTATCGATAATGAAAATATTGATTTTCATTATCGTAAATCAAAGTTAATGATTTGCTTAATCATTAACATCTGATTAACCAACAGAGCTGATCAGAAGATCTGGGGCTGCACATCGGTGTTGGTAGAGGAGAGTCCTCATTACCTGTAAAGTGTTTTGAGTGAAGTGTCCAGGAAACTGCTATATAAGTGTATGGATATCAAAGCAGGTATCTAAATAAATGGCGAGAAGGGTGACCACTGTCGGAGGCAATACAAACTGTACATCAGCGACTCGTGCTCTGCACCAGGCTGCAGGTGCGGTCTTGTGGGATTCTGTCCCAATCCTCTTGTCCGGCCTGTTCACTGGTCTCTGAGCCCTAGATGTCCCTTGTCCTCAACTCCTCATGAGCTGGGCGTCCACAGCATAACTGTCACCTTCTCATCTCAACAAGCAGCCGCTGTTGCCCGTGCCGCCCGAGAACATGCATTGCCCTGTCAGAGCGCTGCCACATCACGAAGAGCCCACGAAAGAGGGGAGGCCAGCGAAGGCCCTGGATCCGATCACCGTAGCGCTGAGCAGTCAATTACAACAAGTGGAGTGCTGTACCGGCAGGATGCTCCAGTGCAGGCCATCACACTTGGGCTCCCTATCGATCGTGAAGAGGTGTTGAGACTCGTACCCTCCCACATCGTTGGCCTGTCAATTAAGGATTGAGCTAAGCTAAACTGCAACATTTGCAACCAGGTCAGAAAGTGCAGGCTGGATACATCGCCATAAAGCAAGCAGAAGTGCACCAACATGGTCCATCTTACAACATACCAATGTGAAAGGAATTGCTCTCTTGATAAACAGGACATACTGATTCCCTTTCTGTGTGTTTCTTCCTTGGTTTTTAACAGACTAGGCATTCAACAGCCCCAGTAAATCCCCTCATCATCGTTTCCCAATCATCTCTCAGTAATGAGGTGATTTAATATTTATGCACCAAAGTCACAATTAATGATCAATTACTCAAAAAGAGACCAATAACATTTAGCCAATATCCAAACCCTGTGAACTTTATTTTTCTGGTAAAGAAACACACTGGTGTTGGAGGTGAAGTAGACCTGTTCCACGCAGGGTACAGTAGATTAATTAGTAAAGAGTCTTAATCCCACAACCCATAGAATGTGAAACACACAGCACTGGGAGAATCGTGACACTGGACTGTAATTTGTCAATAGGAGTGGCCTTTTTCAAATTGAAACATTTGATTTCTAATGTCTCATCATGGGATATTCCTTCCCAGGAGCCACTGTGTCCATCGCCTATTTAAAAACAAGACATCACTGCCTGTACTTGCATAGCCTTGAGGTGGTCTGGGACTTTCAGATGTCTTGCCTGGCAACCAATGACATTACAACGTGCCAATCTAATACTGCATGAAGTGGAACACACTGTATATATATGGCACACATCCAGCACTACAATGTTCCTATTTAACCACGTTGTGGAAGGTGTGAAGAGTAATGGCTGGGATCTCTTCATTTAAAGCAGGATAAAGCTGACTTATTTCAACTACTGCAGCATCTTTTTCTTTCTACACGCTGTTCAGGGAAGGAGTAATCACATATCAAAGAACAGGACTAACATATCGTCAACCAGGGCAAACTGTCAGGACAACAACAGGACAAGCAAGTGTCAAATGCCGACTTCTCTCTGAGCCCGGTGTGTCTGTAAGAGCTGGGAAACCCTTACAGGGTGTGTGTTCTGTGAGGCAGAGCCAGCGCCGTGCCTCTGTACTGACTGAGCTCGACAAAGACTGAAACCACATAAGACGGGTCCCCTGTATGAGCATTTAACTTTGACAAAAAAGCTCTTCATTTATCATGTTTAATTTGCATTAGATACCCATATTTATTTCCAGCATTGCCCCTCTTTTCCTCTTGGATTAGCGCCTCTTACAGGCTGAATCCTGCCTTGCAGGCCCTGCTTGCTGGGACAGGCTCCAGCTCCCCCACAACCCAGTACTGGATAAAGTGGTTCCAAAATGAATGAATGGATGAACACAATAGTTAAAAGACAGCCCGCTACTTATTTAAGACCTGAAAACAATTAAACAGTCCAAATTAAATTTATTATTAGGTCTATTTAAGGTCCTTACCAATGACACTATGACATGCCAGTGTACTACTGCATGCAGTGGAACATATATATATATATCCAGCACTTCAATAAGTGCTTAGTAAGTGTGTGTCCCCCACAAAAAGTTTGTTGGTCCCAGAAACCAGGATTGGGAAACACTGTTCTACCACCTTTAAACTAGGTGCCGATTTAGACCTGGAAAACACAGTTGATTTGACTTCTTATCCACATCAATTAAATCGTTAGGGTTCGGGATTAAATTAAAACCAGGTCATATAGTTCACTCTTAAGTCATCAATTTGCAAAGACATGAAACACATTAAATTTTAATCAACGGTAAATTATTTGATTCGATGAGGTAAAGCAATGGAATACTGTGATCCTTCTGCGTTATGGGGTATTAGTGATTTCATTTTAAGTGGCCTCCAAACTACATAAAAATCGCCTGCTTCAGGGGTCAAAACAAATTCCTTACAACTGTTTAAAGATTGATGAGCTACGGGTAAGCCATAAAACCTGATTGATTGGGGTTCTGCAGAGCCAGGGATAGTCAGTCCCGCAATAAACTAAAAGGAACTATGTTCGTAAATAAAAAATGAGATCATAATAAAGAATAGAAACATTTACTTAAATCCTGCTGGCCGGGGTAAGTCTGGGTGCACCGTCTGAAATTCACAGGGCTGCCACCTCTCTCGGGTTCTCGGCCGGACGAGTATTGTTGGATTCTGAGTTCAGGATGCATTACAGAACCATCGTGTATGATTTAACCAATACCAATATGGATTTACACGGATCTTTTAAAGACGTACGTCCGAGTTTTAGGTCTGTAGAAAAAAACGGCAGCTCCTGAGATACAGTACGCATTACAAGAAACTCTGACGGTCAGGTCTACTACATTTTTATATCTGAGCAACATCGTATTGTGGTGCTTACAGTAGTACAGTAGAAACACAAGTGTACGATGCATGGATGAAGGTTTTGCATGATGCGTTAATCCTTCAAACAAAATAACAAAACTGGGCAAAACATACAACAGCGGAAGCAAATGAAGTGTTTACTGGAAAATATTTATTAGAAAGCTGTTGCACGGGGCTTTTACGTCGCGGGATCATTTCCACTTCCTTCCAGGTTTCTCCTCGGCAGAACCTACCAGTTATGCAAGCGGTCAAAACGGGTTGTGTAATTTGAATGACAAGTTTATACAAGAGCACTGACTTCGAAGGGGGGCTGCCAATATCTTTTTTCTGCTTATGCAGTGTATCATACTAAACCTAGTTTAACTAAATGATCACAATGATAATAATAAGAATAAGTTTAATACAGGGATGTCCACCCTCTCTTAGTTTCTACCTGGGCTGTGGCAATATAAATCCAATTTGGGGTCCGTAGACCACGACTGTAGGCATTAAGTACCTTATGGTTTCAAATTCGTGATCGCATCATTTGAACGAGTTAATACCACATGCACTTTCGGGCGAGCAATTAACAGTTACGACCACGTCAAGCGATTTATGAAATCTGCCACCAAACTTTAAAACTGACCAGCTACTAACTTCGCTATTTCACAGCCACTTTTTAAGCAACCTGCATTCCTGCGTCTGATGTCGCAGAAACTCTTCTACTTGCGTCAAAACACATCGGCGATTTTGTTGCGTTTCGTAAGAGCAGCTCAGGCAATTAAAACTCAACCGAAGCATCAGATAAGGGGGTGGGAACGATTTTCAATTGCTGGAAACAAAATACCCAACTGTTAAGAAAAGCATAAAGCAATCACATGATACCCAGCCGACAAGCCTTCGGACCGAACACGCGTATCTGAAATCGCTTTGAATACGTTCCCTTACATTGAAAAAAAAAAAACTTACATTGAAACATTAGTCGACTTCCCAAGACTGCCATGTTGTGTAATGTCAAAAGCGTCCCTCCTTGGCCAGCTCAACTGCAGGAATTTAGTTCCTCCCAATTCCGAGCCAGTGGCTTTTCTCGCCGCCGAGGTGGCCGGAACTGTGTAGTCTGCTCAGTCACAGAACCGGGGAGAAGCGTGAAATTCTGCGGGACAGAACAGCGCGGCTTCACAGTCTGCAGCGCTGTGACAGAGCTGCGCGGCGCGGCGCGGCCCCGCCCTGCCGGAGCAGCCGGAGGCTCCACCTCCCGCACGTGCGAGCTGCGCTGAAGGTGACACCGTGCCGCGCTGAGAGAGAGAGAGCGAGACCATTGTTCATTCACGCCAGCCCCAGAGGAAGTGACATCTATTTTTCAGGTTTAGTCTTTATTTCTTTTTTTTTGGACGGGACCAGGACGTGTAATTTACATGTCATATTTCCGATAAGGTTCTCCGGATGAGAACGCGTTCCGTCACGGGGCCCGCGAAGATATGAAATTGTCAGGCCCCGTTCATTTTTTTGGGGAATTGTGCTTTTAATTTCTGTTACGCCGTGGCAAAATATATATATATAAATATATATAATATAAAATAAAATAAATAAAATGTACCATCTCTAATCAGTCAGTCCGGGACTCACCCTGTTCGGTGATGCCATGATCAATTAGTGACAGGTGAAGCTGGCGACACTATTATCTTCATATACTGGGTGACAAATGTGACGCGGGGTGTTAATGGATTAAAATACATCTATTTAAACATTCGTTTTTGTGGTTTTAGAAATATTACATCAATACGAAGGCAAGGGCAATATTTTATACACAAAGGGATGATTTCCGATAATTTCCATTCCTTAAATACTTGACTGTGTCCTCTACACTTGCGGCTATAGATTAACCCAAAGGTAAAACACACAAACTTACAGTCTACCTCAACCTCACACCAACAATTTGACCTTCAACCGGTCTCTTCTCCATTGGAGCCATTGGGCAGGCCAAACTGTGCTTTAGGTCAAGTAATGACTGAGTGTTAATGACTGAAGGAAACGAAACCATACATGAAGAAAATGAGGAATGTTGCTCAGTTAGCATTTACACTCCATTTTTCTTATAGTTCATAGTAATACAGGCATCTAGTGCAGAGTGGTGGCTCTGTGGTTTAGGATCTGTGCCTGTGGCTGGAAGGTTGCCGGTTCAAATGCCGTGGCCGGCAGAGGAATCTTACTCTTGGGCCACGGAGCAAAGCCCTTAACCCCAGGTGCTCCCAGGGCACTGAACCCTGTGCTCTGAGCCCAGGCTTCTCTCCCTGTCTGTGTGTCTCATGGAGAGCAAGCTGGGGTACGCAAAAAGACAAATTCCTAATGCAAGAAATTGTATATGGCCAATAAAGTGATCTTATCTTATCCAAACAAAATTACCCATTTCCAGGCCTCTACAGTGTATATACTGGAAACGGTATAGATTAAAGTTCTGCTTCCCTCGTTACCGATGTTAACATTTTAATACCATCTATTTTCAAGAATGTGGACCCGTAGTGCTTCAATGAACTTTCCTAAAAAGTGACCCCACTTTCAAAATTCCACAAAATAAATCTAATCTATCAAATGGAATGCATTAACGTAAAACAAGGTCTTGGTGGTCTTAAGGTAACATAGCATCTTGCAGTGTGAATGTCAGCTTAACAAGTGGCCTAGTTTTTATAAACCTTGTGATTAATCTTCACATTCCTGCACAGATCATAGTGCACGCCAGGCACCTCACACAATATTGCCATGAAACAGCCTTTATGGGCCTGACAAAGGATTTATAGAAATCCCCTTGAAATAAAATTAATGAGAACCATGAAGCATCATGATAAATCACAGAAATGTTTAAAGTGGTAGCAGCAAGAGCAAAACACAATGTTAAGAGAAAAAAAAATGCACCGAACATCTTCATTCCCAGTAAAATCACTAGAGTAGGCAGTGATGTTTACACACTACGCAGGTAATCGGGTGCTGATTGTTAATATTTCAGATTATGCGTTTCAGAAATCGTTTACTGGTATGTTCCGATACTAAAAAATATTTTTTTCTGGTGTAACATTTGTGAAAAATGCTGCAATATAGGAAAAACAAATCCCAAATTTGAATGAAACATGAAATAATAAAATAGTTTGATTATAATCAGTCACATGAACAAGTATCTCTAAACATCTCATTGCAGAAGACAGCACAGTAATGTGGCAATTAGTGTGACTACCTCATAGCTCTTTGGGTTTGACTGTGGAGTCCAAACGCACTCTCCACAACTATGTGGGATTTTTCACTGAATGGATGGATTTTGTGACAACTATAGGGTCACAGTGGTGTAAAGGGGTATTAATCATCAGGACCCTGGGTTTTATTTTTGTTAACTCGCATCCCTCTTTAACATTCTTCCATTTACAGAATTTACTGTAAACGTAAACTAATAAATAACTAATCATAACATTAAACGGTCCTTGTATACACAAATCACACACTTAAAAAACCCACAGAGGCCAAGTGAGACAGAAGACATTTATTGGCAATGATGCTGTGCTGGACAACTAAGATTGGAATCAGAATGGAAAGCGTACATTATCATGGTCTTTGGGTAACTATTATCGCTTCATACGTTGTTAGTGCATTATCCACTGTAATTTCATGTAGCTCAAGTAGGAGATGCTGTTCTGGGCAAGGAGGCAGCATAAGGAAAACGCTCAGGGCCTACAGCGCTGGATGAAGCGAGGGTACAGACACACGTCTCGGATGTGGTGTCTGTTCAGTAGCCAGGTCAGGAACCTCTCCAGGCCCAGACCATAACCCCCATGAGGGCAAGTCCCATACTTCCTCTGTGAGAGAGAGAGAGAAAAAAATGGGAGAAATGCTTTTAGACCATCAATTTGATCATCACTGTTCAAAGCTGCCAGCTCACATGTTTTCAGAACCTAGTGAACTGAGGCGAAGGGATGTGAGGACTGTAACTATATCACCCTGCAGCCCACAGCTGGCGACCCACTAAGGTGTGAGCTTGGCCAGTACCTGGATGGGAGACCTCCTGGGAAAGCGAAGGTTGCTGCTGGAAGAGGTGTTCGTGGGGCCACTAGGGGGGCGCTCGCCCTGCAGTCTGTCTGGGTCTGTGCCCCACTAGAGTGATGGGGACACTATACTGTAAAAAGGGGGCTGTCCTTCAGATGAAACAAAAACAAGGTCCTGACACGCTGTGGTCATTAAATAGCCCAGGGCGTTACTTGAAAAGAGCAGGGGTGTTACCCCAGTGTCCTGACCAAATTTCCCTCTGGCCTTTCCCAATAATGGTTCCCAATCTATGAATTGGCTTCATCACTCTGTCCTCCTCCCCACTGACAGTTGATGTGTGGAGAGAGGACTAGAGCACTTTGGCTGCTGTCGCATCATCCAGGTGGGGCTGCACATTGGTGGTGGTGGAGGGGATCCCCATGACCTTTAAAGCACTTTGAGTGGAGTGTCTGGAAAAGTGCTACATAAGTGTAAGGAATTATTATTACCACCACTACTATACCTCCTCAATTCTGCTATAACAATGCCTGATGTCTAAGAAGCTGAGCTAGTGAAGATCTTCTTCTGAACACAGCAAGAGGTATACGATGCAGATGTCAAGCTTGACCATGGGTCATCTCAGTAGCTATGCAGGATGCCCCAGCGGCAGTGCACAACAAGACGAGTGCTGCCCCAGGTAGGGTTTGGATTAGCTGATTAATGACACTTCCCAGACGGCTGAAAATTCACAGGAACATCAGTGAGGGACACGCCATCCTCCAAATGGCATTCAACCTCCTGCATGTTGCTGCAGAGCTTGCATCAACAAAAGATGAATGTGCAAACATATGAAACGTTACAAACGAGAGGAGGTCAGGATTTAGGATTTAAATATTGAGTGAAATATTTGCTATTGGATATCGATTGGTAAGCCCATACAATGAAACGATAGTTGTAGAAAGGAGTTAGAGTTTAAAAATAGTAATGCAAAGGAACGGTCTATTCTTATAAAAAGTACGATGACAACTGTAATTGTAGAGTACGATTGTTACAATACCGTGGAGGACAATTGCTCTCTACAGCATCGTACCAGTAGTGTTGGTTTTGGTACACACCTGATCCGTATACCAGTAGTAAGGGGTGGAATCAATGCCTTCTCTCTTGTATCCTTCAAGGAGTTCTTCCGTGTCCCAGATACGCATTGATCCCCCAACGATCTCCCCAACATTGGGCATCAGTACGTCCACCTACCCAAAGGACACAGAAACGTCACTAAACTCCACATTACTTCAAAAGCAAACAACAATTCTCATTAATCCGGGAAGCAGAGCATTAAACTGACTGCATTTTCTTCTCACTTATGTGCCTGGCAGCCCGGGATCTATAGAGTGGCGAAGTTTAATTCGTCCACCCAGCCTTCTCTCTGAAGTGTCAATGCAAACGCACGCCGAAGTGAAGGAATGCTGCCGACATGAAGAAAGCCACGGGTATGAAATTCTAAACTGAAAGACACTGAAGAATTTCAAATTGCTACACTTCTCCAGAACACGAAATGCTTCTACGAACGGGCCGAAGACCAGGACCAGTGGACCAGTGCCCATGATTTTGATTCAGTCCATGTCCAGGGAAAGGCACGAGGAGGAGCTGACCGATTCAGTGAGGCGGCGGTCCTCGGGACAGCGCTGCATGTAGAAGGCCTTGATCTCAGCTGGGAATCGGCACAGCAGGATGGTCTCATTAATAGTATCAGTCATCAGCCTCTCTGGGGCTTCAGGGATATCCTAGGAGACAAAGACATGAGGTGTTTTTTTATTTTAGGCTTTCATGTTTAATCTCTGGCAGGACAATAATTAGAAAACGAATTAGGCACGAAAATAGTTTTCATTACAACATTTCTTTCCTGGCAAACGTTTGATGCATTAAGGCATTCTCTTCTGGAGCAGCTGTGGAAATAAACAGTAGGAAGACTGTGTTAAAGCTACATCTAGTTAAAAAAAACTCGGACCTCTCCAAATTCATAGTAAGTGCCATCGTCTTTCTTGACATCGTGCTCTTTGAGCCATGTGATGGCTTCAGTGTAGTCCATTCTCTTGAAAGGTCTTTTAGGGGGCTTGAAGTCCTGTAAGAAACAGAAACCGGACATTAGTCCTCTAAATAAAAGCTTTAACTAATGCATTTGACTTTCTAACCCCCCCTGCACACACAAACTACAATTTGCACTTTTTATAAGGAATCAACAAGTTACACTTACATACAGTATGCAGTTACTAATACAGTCAGTTTTCCTAGTAGCAAAGTACCTTGGTGAGGGAAGAATGAATCATAAGTATTGAAAGAAAGGGCTTACACAGCAGTGCTCAGAAACTCGAAATACACTGCATCTTCCACATTCAATTTACCACTCAATGCTGTTAAAGGGGACCTCCTGTGCAGCTCTATGACATTGTAAACAAGCAGGCTTGTGAAAACATCGCCTTTAATCCAACGGAAATATTACTTTCTATATTGAGATGGTTTTGCCGACAAACACTGCTTACATTAACTCTGCAATGGATTACGTTGGAACATTTCTGCAGTGAAATGTACGAGCAAATAAGCACAGGTTGTGCAGCAGACATCACATTACATTAGTCATTACAGTGACTAGCAAGCAAGAAGGGGGAACTCTTGCTCTCGTCTATAGCAAGACCAGGAGTTTGCGACAACAGTAACTTGTAGTACTTTCACAAAGTTCACAATTTTGCACTTAATTCGAAATTTGTAATCTTTTTCTAGAACGGCAAATTTGTTACTGAGATTTAATAACCGGTCTGAGAAAACTGGGACAGCAGTTCCCCTTTAAAAACGAAAAGGCAACTCAAACAATAAGCGTTGTGTATGCTTCTAATACATTTTTAAAAATCTGAGCCATGTTATTAGCCAGATGTGACTGGGATTATCCATGACTGGCGCACAAGTGGTGAAATACCACCATGGTTGGCTGAGCATGAGCCTGTCATGCACAAGCGACCCCCCAGACCTGCTGTGCACCTCTGGGGTTTCAGGGCTGTCAATTAGAGCAGCATCACCTTTCCAGTCAATGCTAAGCGGCCACTGAGGGATTTTCAGCTTGAGAACCAGCAGATGGCTCTGACAAGCGCCCATTTCGAAACAAAACCTGCACAGTCCTCTTCCCCCCCTCTCACAGGTACAGTAGGCAGAGATAAATAAATCTCCGAATGAATTTGCAATTTCCAACTGAGGTGAGTGAGAAAAAGAAATATCTGCCAAAGTTCAGTTTAAAGGAAAAGTTCAACTCCTCAAATGTAGCAAGTACGCTCTGTAGCGCAAGCTATTAAGACCGAGAGGAAGAAAAAAAAACACGCCGATGCATTATGGAACATGAAAGTGTACTCCAAGGATTAGGATTTGTGCATGGAGGGAATGCAAGACGTCTCTTGTAAAACCTCTTTCTTCTGAAATAAAAAGGGTTCAGGCACAGAAAAAAACAAGACTACAGAATGGACCCTTTTGCGGCTGCGAATAAAAGATCTTGTAATCCAAAAACAAAGCCTACAAATTGAAGGAGGACATTCGGCCAATCTATCTTGGGCCAGTCTGGTTGCCGAGAGCTAAATATTCTGAAGATCTTGTCTGGTCACTTCCTGGAAGCTGAATCTGCTTCGACAACATGCCTGACAACTAGCCTCCCGCACAGCTGTGTAAAAAAAGTGCCTCCTGTACGTTATTCCAATGGCACCTTCCCTCCAATAATGCCTTCTGGGCTTTATTAGATGTATTATTCACCTCCATTCCATCCTCTTTTACTTTAAGGGCATGGTTCTTCTTTAAGAAAAATACTCATCTGCAGGCTATTGCCTCTTGGAGTTCAGCATCATGGCTTCAATTATTGCCTGTAGTTGTTCTGACTTTCAGGAGTACCCATGTTTTTAGACAAAAAAAAGGTCTAGGGGAGAAAGGTCAAACGTAAATCACTCTGGAAGAACTTACAGGGTTGATGTCATAGAGGAGAGCGCCAGCGGGAGACTTCAAGACTCGATCCACCACATCGCACACCAGGTCCTCCAGACGGTTCAGCAGGTCCTCATAAGATATAAAGGGGCACTCCGCTTCGATATGAGTGTACCTGTGGAGGGGCGGAGGGGGGGAGACAATATCACCCCGTTTCCTATACTGCAGCTCTACAATTTCAAAATGAACATGGAAATCAGTTGTCTATTAAAACATAAAACTACGCTCAGTAACACTGCATTAGCTCTCCCTTGCAGCTCTTCAGTTTCAAGGGAGGTGCCCCAAAATACCTCAGTATTTTTATGAACAAGATCACATGGAAACGGTTTTGGTAAGGTTTTTTCTGCAAACTCCAGTAGGAACGTACAGCCAACCAGGCCTATGATTTGGAATGTAGACTACGAACATTACTAGCACATTTTCCTGTACTTCTTTATATTTAGTGGATATTCAAGAAAATGTCATGCCCTATGTACTCAAGCAGTTATTTAGGCACAAACAGAAAAGATCAGTTACTGCACCAGAGCCACTTCAAACGCACGGCGTCAAGGTAACAGCACAAATGGCTTCCGCTGCTACTCAATTAAAACACCCATTACAGACTGATACATCTTGTTTTAAAAAAAAGATTGTTAGAAGCCCGAAGATGTTACATACACCTCCTGCGATCATCTGGCTGTGCATATCTCTGTAAATATATTTGTGGCAATTTGCTGTAAATTGTGAAGCATAACATCATGCACTGAGGCAGAGCGAAGGACTAAAGGAAAGTATGTTAGTATAATTATACCTGCTGTATGACAGGCGGTACATGGCAGATTTAGGTTGAAAAAACCTTTATGAAGACAGGGTTCCGCAGAAGTATGTATAAAATATCAGTTTTAGTTCCAACGCGACCAGGAGCCTGGAGCACATAAACTCCGTTTACAAAATAACTTTTAGGGAAAAACGTTTGGAATTCTTTAACAAGCTTCTTGGACATCAGGGCTCCATAGAAAAAACTAAAGACAAAGTACATGCTGGTACACAAAAGGTTAACACTTAAATAAGAATATTCAGCACAACATCATCAGTGGTAATAAGGCTGGAACGGCTCTGCCTGATCTTCCCCAGTAAAGAAGACTGCAGAATAAAGGCTTCAGCTATGAAGAGGTGGAAATTTCATTATGTAATACAAAGGACCCTTTATTGTATGTGAAACTGCACCTTTTTAGACCAGAGGATGAACTATTGCATTCTGAATTGATCTTCCTGAAAAGACTATTTCCCCATTTCAAAAAGGATAGGCAGAGAGCCCATAAAAGTCCATCAGCAACCTACTACACAACAATGTTTGAAAACAATATCAGGGCTAAATTCAATGAGGTAGGAAAGCATAGAAGTGTGCTCTTTAGCATTCCAAACCCTTAACACTTCAAAAGGGAGAATTCAAGACTGGCACCCGAAGTTAAGGCTGACAAAGCAGCTTGCAGAGTAGCACCTTCACTCATCCCAACTTCAGTCTTTTTCTGCTCTTTAATTAAGTCTCTGCTTGTGTAAACAGGACTCCCTGAAGATGCATCCCTTCCTTATGAATTACCCTCTTAATGTCTCAGTATCGCTTCAAAACTATCAACCCACAGACGCAGGTTTGGTTAGATATTAGAACACTTAAATGCCTTAAACTCAAAATTACTAAGTTGGGTTGTCTCACTTCTGAACCAGAACTACAAGTTTTAAACTCCTGTCTTTATCTCCTGAAATGAAAACCAGAATTCCGGTCACCTTTCTCTTGCCATCCAGGCATTTTTAAAAGGACTTATTCCTGTTAAGTGTCCTCACAGCCGGAGGCGATACAGTAATACGAGGACTCTTTCATAAGTTAAGAATGGGAACCAGAAGTCAGCTGTAAGGAAGCAGTACTGTGCAATCCATTTGTGGCGAGGTATTATCATCTGACTTCTGAATGGACAGGCTCCTGTGCAGGAATAGAACAGCCCTGCTCTACATCTAACAGGGTGTGTGTCCGTGTGACGGAGATGATCCGTGTGACGGAGATGATATCGTGCCTTTTAATCCAAGACAGGAAAAGGTCCCGGAAACTACAAGCTGGAAGCAGCCACTTTCTTGCGCAAGAAGACAAAAGGGGTTTGATCTTACTCGGAGAGGTGCCGGCGCGTCCTGGACTGCTCGGCGCGGTAGGACTGAGCGATGCAGAACGTGTCCCCCAGAGCTGGAATGCAGGTCTCCAGGTAGAGCTGAGACGACTGGGTCAGATAGGCCTCCTCTCCAAAGTAGTTAAAACTGAACAAGGTGGAGCCTCCCTCCACCTGCGTCTGCACCATGGTGGGGGGGGTGATCTATGGGAACACAAGGGGATTAAAGGGGAACTGCAATGCTATTTTTATATTTAGAGAGATCTGGCATTGATGAGTGCGTTACAAACCGCAACAAAGGTGAAATGAAAAAATAGACCAAATTTCCAGGTACAGTATGTGCTGCGCCGTGTTCTGCGATTCAGAACGCGGTAACAAGACTTAGGTTTATTCCATGTTGAAGAGAGTCACACCTGACAAAGGCTCCACGGCTGAAACGTTGCGTTTTCGTTCTCTTTTCAGCATGGAATAAACCTATTACGTGTTCCTCTGCAGCCTGCGCATGCTGACGCAGCTCCCCACTGGAGGTAACAAGACTTCTGGTGACTTGCTGCGGCCTTATTACATTGTCAAGAAGCAGGCTTGTGAATTCATCTCTTTTAATCCAACAGAAATATTCCTTTTGATTTCAAGACAGTTTGGCCGACAAATACTACTTATTTTTAAACTCTGCATCCCAATCACGTTGGAACATGTCTGCGCTCTTATTTGCTGCGCATCGCATTACATTAGTCGTTGTGGCGACTAGCGAGCAGGAAGCGCCATTTCACGTCCCAACTCGTGGGAACTTCAATGCTAGCTTGTGACAGCAAACAGTACTTTCACAAACTTCACAATTCCATGCTCAACTGGAAATCGGGACTGCAGTTGTTCCCCTTTAACATTTCTCACTGTGGTTTTATTTCCCGAGGAGAAAACACACTGCGAGATTTTGGTGGAGAAAGCAGATCAAGTCACCGTGGACATCTGCCCACCAGCCCTTCTGACAGATTTGGTCAATTAAATCTGCGCCAACCGTTACAGAAAGGCCTTGTGTCTCCAAATGCTTCACAAACGCCACACGAGACAGCTGCTCTCCTTTCAAACTCAAGTCTCAAGGCTCTACTCACCTCGTAGTATCCCCTGCTGAAGAAATGGTCTCGGAAACACTGCGTGACCACGGAGCGCACTTTCAGGATCTTGGACATGTTCTCTCCACGGATCATCATATGGCGGTTGTTGAGCTGGACGTCTACGTCCGACTCCTCGTTCAGCAGGTTATCAGCGCCCCCTGCTGGGGCCAATCCTATCAGCTCCCAGTAATCACAATGCAGCTCGTGTCCTCCAGGAGCCTGCCAAACAAGAGCCACCACACCTAGCAAGGGCATCTCACCTCACAGTACCGAGTAGACAAGCTGGTATCCATGCTCCTACAACAGTTCTAGAACCTTAGACTAGAAAATATTAATTTTAGAAACACTGTTGAACTCTCTACATAATGCCAACTATGACACTGGGTCCATTTCCTTTTTATTTATAACACCAAAATCTATTGCACATTCCTAATGCTTAATGCAAATTTAAGTGTATGACTTTAAAAAAAGGAGTTTTGGGGAGAAAAATGGGGCTTATTATTAACAAACGCTGGTATTAAGAAGAACAAATATTTGCTACAAAAAGAAATCAATTAGACTCAGTAAGATATCTGACGATTCTGTGGTTTTTGCTGCCTTGTAAATATTGTAACCTAAAAGAGCCCCGCCAGACTTGCTACTGGTCTTACTCATTCACAGATTGTTATATTGTACATCTTTTAACACTTCACAGGCATTGTCTTAAACCCTTAAAAAAATTCTGCAGATATCAATGTTTTACCTGCTTTCCTTCTGGTACAGCCTTCAATGTTCCGTAGAGTGCAACAGTGCTTTCAGTGGACAGGACCAATGCATTGTAGGTTTGACACTAAAAACAAAACAAGTCTCACCACTATTCACAATTTATACCAATAAAGACAACTTCAATTAAAAAAAAAAAGAGATCATAGCACTTATTATCCTGTTCCGCTGACTTTTAGCAGGGTAATTCTACTTTAACACACTTGTAATTTGAGGGGGGGGGGTGTCATAAATAGGATACGAACCATCAAATAACAGTTTTATTGAAGGTGAGCCAAGACAGAACTCACACCTGTCCTAACAAGGTAACCCAAGTCCAGAATAAAATTAGTCGACAACGTCTAACTTATCTAAGTTCAGATCTGAAATTTCCCCCAAACACTTTCAGCAACGTTAACCTTAGGAAAATACATCTACATGCCTGGCTGTCTGTGAACGTTTTTAGCGATGTTGACATCTCCAGTAGTGTTACAGTTCTTGTCAGGGCCCTATTATTTAAACCTGCTTCCTGATGAAGAATCAACCCTTAGTTCCTCACCAGGAAGAAAAAATCAAGGACAGAAGGATAAGAACATCCAGCTTGGCGTTTCACTACTAACAATCTTATCTCATGAGGCTTTGTGTGATGACGAAGACTATTTAAAATAACAGTAACACTATTCTTTCTGGACCGAAGATCAAGGTTTAAAGAGTCATGCATTGCAGTATGTCAGACAACCGTACTGGGGGTGAGAGCATAATACCGTACCAGCTGATCCGTCAACACACACTGAAGAAAGCCCGTGCCATCCCTCACTACAATGAACATCAAGTTCTTCCCTAAAAAACAAAAACAAAACAGAAAGTCATTCTAAGTCAAGGCTGTCTCCCAAAAGAAATACACTGCTTCCCAGCAGCACCAAAGCCACAGTTTGTAATATCTCTTTTAAAGGATGAGGAATGGGGGTGTGTTGTCATCCACAGCAAAGAGACCACAGAAGCACTGAAACCCAGAAACAGACATTACTACCACAAGAATGTAGTGCCCAGGGTCCAGGAGTGCCCCTGTGTCTTCTGTCAGGACAAAAAGGCCACTGGCCTCTATCTGTATCTCACAACTAGAGAGGGTTTGAATAGCTCATAGATCTCCATTGACTTCTCCAGACTTCCAAAATAACGATGGGATGCAGGCACAGGTACTACCAAATGGGCCAGATGGGTCACATAGTCTTCTCTCGTTTGTAACTGTCCTTGTGCTTCTATAGATGAGCAGGACAAATTGCTTCCTGTGTTTTACCATTTGGATTTCAGCAGGCTTGATATTCAACACGCTAGGAAAAGACGGACATGTGGTTGCAAGCTTTTGAAGAGGACAGAGGCAGTAATTATCGGTCTACAGATTCTGACAGAAACTCCATGTCTGCAAGCAGTGACTGACGGGCTACCTGTCACCTGTTAAAACAGAAACCTCCATGTCCACAGAATAGGCAGGTCAAAAACTGACGGCAAGTTATTTTTGTTTTACTTTTACATACATTTTATTTTTCTATCAGTGTTTTACTTGCCAGTGCATCGGCTACATCAAAGTGTATTAGTAAACAGTATTTTACTTTAATTAATACAACTCAAGTTCCCTATAACCTGGTGCCATCCACGGCTGTAAAAACAAGCTGCCCAGCAGAATGTGTTGCACTTCCAACAGACTATGGTCGTCCTGAGGAAAAGACATGTTTTGCATGTCTGCAGAACAGAGGGAACAGTAATCTCTTTTGAAACCGCTTTGGTCCCTCACAAGCTTACAAAAAGGACAGTTGAAACCATTTTTGGGGGTTTTAATTCTATTACAATTTCACACCCCACTCATGTAACCTCACTGCTCATGTTGCAACATATCTATACAAAACAGAGTTCTTTCACATAAAAGAGTACATTCACAACAGTTCTGCTGGCTCTGGCATTTAAGTGAATTTAATTCCCTAGCAACCACAAAAAAAAAGAAAAACCAGAAGAATATCGTCACTAATTATGTGAATTGGCACTTGGCTTTTTACCCTGGCGTCGCAGCCTGTGAGTCCATCCAAAGACTCGGACTCGTTGATCCCGATATTGTTCTAAATGAAGGATCTTTACCTGAAATCGAGAACAAATATCATTCTAGCCACAGACGTAAAAAAAACATCTTCATTTTAATAGATGTACTAGCACTTGACTGGAATGGTAGACAAGTGTGTCTGAACTAGTAGCTTTTATGAAGTAGGAGGCAATTTCTTGACAGCCAAAACTTCTGTCTTCCCAGATATAGGACGCGTTGTTGCTCCAGTACACCTGGAAATGGGAGCAGACAACTGACAATTCTCCCTCATGCTATCTCATCAGCTTAATCACACAAGAGAAAAAAAAAAGCTGCTCTATTATCATGAAGGCAGTCAAGATCACACCACAGGAAGCCGATCCCCAAATCAGAGAAAAGCATTCCAGAACTCACTGTTTTCGGCTCGGGAAGGCTGGGATCGTTCTGGATTACGACTTTCTTGGCTTCCTCCAGGTTCTTCTCACGCCGGAGAGCATCCTCTGCCTGGACAAGCAAGACCACTTCGGGAGTCAGTACATCCATCCATTTTCGAACCACTTAATCCTATAAAGGGCTGCAGGGGAGCCAGAGCCTCTCTCGGCCAGCGACAAGCACAGGGCACGATATACCTTGGACGGGACGCTAGTCCATCAAAGGGGGCGCACAGTCAGGCACCAGAGCCAATTTATCTACCAGTATGGCTTTGGACCACAGGAGGAAATGTAAGCACCTGGAGGAAACCCTGTGAACACAGGGAGGACATACAAACTCCGCACGGAGAGCATGACCCAGGACCCCAGTACTGTGAGATAGCAATGCTAACAACTGCACCACCATGTCACCTCAGCTAGTTTATCTAACACGACTATGCACCAAGGCCAACAGGGAGTCTCCCCATCGCTTACCTCTTTTTTATCTTTAGCGGTGTTCTTCATCTGTTCCTTCTGCCAGAGTTTGCGGACATTCTTCATCTGCGTCTTTGAAATGACAACCCAGCGCTGGTGAAGAGAAGAAAGAGAAGAAAGGAACACCAGGATAAACAAAGGCGCCCAGTATTTTGCTGCAGGTGGGACAGGCTGCAATCAGCTTATACCGAGAGAAACACAGGAAGACAACATGCTGCTCCACTGTGGAAGTTCGTCATTATTAGGTCTGAGAAATATTTTAATTGGTTTCAAGGCTCATACCCTATGATAGAAATCCTACGTTTTGGATTTGATACAGCAGATGCAAATTTTACCGTTCTGAATTTGAGGGAGAGGATAACCACTCATTAAAGACAGGTGCCGCCTCATCAGTCCATGGGTACATTACCTCATCCTCCTTTTGAGAGTCCACATAGATGGTTGGAAAAGGTTCCTTCCCAAGAAACAATAAGGCCTAAAAAATGATGAGGGAGGAAGAAATACGTTTTTAGATCCTTTTATTTCATCATTACTTTCCACTTTTAATGCAGACGTTTGTAGGATAGGAAATAAAAAGCACAGAACAATCACTGTTAAGAAACAGTTCCAGAGAGCCACAGTCTTGAAGGCAGATTTGAAAGCAAAACAGCTGTCAAAATCATTGAGTGAAATAAAGAAAAATCAAACTTCATCAATGTCTCTCCTGCATGTCAATGAGAAGCCTTTTCATTTTTTATTTTTGGCTAATGATAGATGTAAAACTTCTGAGAAGCTCTTATACTAGCACTGGGCATTCCTATACAATATTCAACTTTTTATTTAACTGTTGAGTGCACAAAAGGTTATAGACATATCTTCATTGTAACTATGGCTGTACATGCTGTGTTTGACAAATTTGTAGTGCTTTACGAATATCAGTGTGAATAAGGTAATCCTGTATATGATACAAATGGCTTATTTGTATTTTGCAAATAAGCAGAACTAAAAAACTCAAGACGACAGGAAGCTGAAGGATTTCTTTAACTTTGTGCGAGCTATAGAGTTTTTATCATTCATCATCTCAGAATGAAAATAAACTGTTACTAATTTTGACTTCTGTACTGCTAAACCATCAATAGCTGTGGATTCAATTCATATTGGCAAAGATAAAGTCAGTATTCATAGTGCTAGCAAGCAACAGTGTACCACACTGACCTGCCCCATTTTATATGAGATGTTATCTAGTGTTATGTTAAGAATAATATCAGCAGATAGAAATTGGTAATGACTTGACTTGCATTAAATATCTATATTAAATACGTATCCTGTGGGTTGAATTATATACATTTTCATATTTTTGGGCCAAATTTGATTGGAACAGAAACAGGCAGTTTTTCAGTCTTTCTACAAAGGTACCTCAAAAAGGTTCATCATTTACCTTTAACACCGTTTTAAAAGGCTTCTCTTGCGTTCCATCAGCGTCAGAATCATTTCCCTCCTTTTCAGAGACATACAGTTCTCCTGTATCAGCAGAAAAGATGAAAACATTCTCGAGCGTTCTGTTGCTCAATTGAATGAACAAGTTAACTGGAATCTAGCTTCACAACTTTACACACTGCTGCACCGTTCTAGAATGGTTTCACACATATGCACAATTATTGAGTTCACCACATATTGTGGTAGCCTATTGCCATACACATGAAGTAAAATTATTTTCTGTGACCTCTTACATATTTGATAAAAATGTGCAATAATACATTACTACTTAAGTATAAGCCACAAGGTCCCATTACTTGGAAAACATGCAAATCCATTACACATACGTGAATCAAGTTCTTCACGTGTGAATTAAGTTGTGGCACAAAACCGATTCAACCTACTGATTTAATATCATCATCTTTACCACAGACCAACGTTTTGCTGAAAATGAGCCGGAGAGCTTAATGTAAATAACATTAAGGACAAAATGAACTTTAGTCATCAAGAAAACATTTAGTTTTAGGTTCAGTGACCTAAAGAACCAGCCTTAATTGAGTGGAGCCTACAGGAGGGAGGGTAAATGTGAAGGAGTTCAAAGATGTATGATGGAGCCGGATTATTCTGAGCCTTGAAAGTCAGTAACAAGATGTTATTTTGAATACTTGATTTTACAGGCAACCAATATAGAGATTTAAGTGCAGGAGTGATAAATTACCAGAGTGTAGTGTGAGTCAGAAGTCTTACTGAGACTGTTAAGACTGTTAAGGAATGAGTAATGAGTTGCGGAAATCAAGCCTCGATATTACAAAAGCATGAATCAGGCACTCGGGAACTTTTTTCCAACTGACATATGCTGCCCACCAGTAAAATCTCTGTTTTGTCACTAACTTCAGGGAATGTGATGTCAACCACAGCTTGATGTCACGCAGACAATGGATAAGTGACAGAGTCATGAGATCAGTGGGGGAAGAGGTTAATATAAGATCACTTTACTGGCCATATACAATTTCTTGTATTAGGAATTTGTCTTTTCGCATACCCCAACCTGCTCTCCATGAGAGACACAGGCAGGGAGAGAAGCTTTTGGGGTCAGAGCACAGGGTCAGCCATTTATCGTCGCCCCTGGAGCAGTTGGGGTTAAGGGCCTTGCCTAGGGGCCCAACGGAGTAGGATTCCTCTGCCGGCCGCGGGATACGAACCGGCAACCTTCCAGCCACAGGCGCAGATCCTTAGCCACAGAGCCACCGCACCGAGGTTTTAACATAAATCTGACTATCATCTACTTAACAATGAAACTGAAGACTATGTTTGCACATAAGCTGACCGAGAGGAAGAATATAAAGAAAGAATATAAAGAACATAAATAATAAAAAGCAAAGGACCCAGGACTGAGCCCTACTGCACACCATGATTGACAGGAGCCGTCTGTCGATCAGATATGAGTCAGGTATGAGTGGAACCAGCGATAGACAAGAATGTGTACAGGAACTGGAGAGCCAGTGAAAGATGAACTGTCTCAAAAGCCACAGTAAAATCAAGGGGCAGAATGCTTAGACCTCCCCAAGTGAGACGCAATAAGTAAAACATTCACAGGAGCAGTCTGAGTGATATCACTGAGACAAGAACCGGACTAGGATGGTTCAAACAGATCATTAGCTCTCCCGTGAGCCTGTAACTGATGTGCAACCCCCATGTTCCAAAACCTTTTGCCTTTTATCCAGACACTACCAGGATATTGTAACGCATACGGCCACCATTGCAGGTTGTTCGAGCCGGTTTACCAGCGCTGTACAATATATTTGCTGACGATTTCCCTACATTTCTTAATCCAACGGAGTACCGAGACCCTAAATCAGTCCTATATATTTGCCTCACGTTGTATCTACGTAGCTGAAGAAACCTACTTATTGAATGTCAACAGACTGTATACAGATGGTAACATTAGCTGTTCATACTATACATATGGGACCTCCAATCTCAAATACATTTTCTCCCTTTTGTGTTATAAAGTTTAAACACATTCTTTTTCATAATATCTACCTCTTGAATAGCTTTAAAATCCTCTAGGTTACTTAATATAAAAAAAGCAGTTGACAGTAGATCGCTGTACTTGATGATGAATGGCCACCACCGAGCTTGCGCGTTATCAGGAGGGCCTTGATATCTCAAGGGAAGCGAGTGTGTAAGTACGGCTATCGGTGACTGGCAAAATGAAAACAAAATACAGAAATATCACAACATCTGAAAACCACGGGATCTACGGGGGGGAAATCAAGTACTTAAGAATTCCCCGCAACTGATTCAAAGGAAAGACTTTTCTACACCCGCCTCAGAGGCGACTGCAGTCAGCGCAAGATGATGCAACACGCAGAGTTGCTTACCTACTGTAGCTAATGTAAAAAAGTGACTTCTTACCGATTGCAAGTCCCTCAGCGTTTTCAGTGATTTCGTCGGCCATGTCCTCGTCACGAATGGTTTACACGTTACCTTTTATGTCATATGTGTTTAAAACAGAAAACAGAACTGCCTTTCATACGCCTACCCTACCGAGCGTACAGTATGTGCATGTGCCTCAACCGGCCGTCTCGGCACAAACTAACTTTAATGCAATACGGTTCCGCCCTGCTGTTTTATTGGTGTGTTTTCATCGTTGCCCTGTTAGCATCAAACTCTGAAAGCTGATTTGTCTGTTAGACTTATATTTTGCAGTCGCTCCACCTTCAATACGCTCATGGGCGGTTGAATTGCAGGATAACGTCAGATAGACACCCCAAAGCTATTAGGAAGTCTTTCTGATGGAATACTTTCGCTTTCGCTTGTTACTGCTTTAATGTTAATATAGTACAACACATCTGCACATCACAACTCTAAACTGTTTTCCGTAGTACCGAAAACAAAGCTGTCGATGGTTATTTGTAAACAGGTGCGGTGCCGTAGTTAAAAAGAGAATGGAAACAACAATGCTTGAGCTGTTCTCAAAATCCGTCATATTCCACTAGTATTAAGAAAATTAAATTCAACATGTACTGTATGTATACAGTCTCAGGGAACAGTCTTGCTCTGGGTATTCTAGATATTGGGGGTGAGACGTTTCTCAATAGTTCCCCAGACCTGAGTCTTAAAGGGCGTATTCATGCCCATGATGAGGCTCAAGCCACAAAAGTTAAACGGATGCGCAGGTGCGACAGCCGGGGTATGTACAGTATGATATCAGGTATGGTAGGTGCTTTTGATCTGGTGTAGAAGCTACAGTACGGCTTTAGTAACAGTTGTTAAAGAAACGTAAAATGCCAGGGTGTGGAAAAACAAGTGTAATAAAAGTAGTTTATTACAAAAAATCATGCTCTTTGGTTTGTATTGGGAAGCAAAACTTCTTATATTTAATTGATAGTTTACACTTACAGGAAGGGAAAATAAACCCGAAATATGAGAAAACCAGATGCATGTAAATAGATAATTCGGAATACACACACTAACTCACGCTACTCAGAATATTTAGCATTCCAAACACTTCCGTCGTGCAAGCGCACTGAATAGTTGCATCAGAAAATCGGGCTGTGCTGTTATTAGACACGTCTTTGAAATTTCCCCTTCTGAGCACAGCAGTTTGAGGACCACTGCAAATAATCAAGTTGGTGTATCGTCTGAATCGAAACTTACTGTACATTTTCCTAGAAACGTGTAAATACGCTTGCTTTTATTTATTTTTTGTGTCAGTTGCGGTTTGCCAATACATGTAAAATATTTTTATGCCATGTTTTACTGATTCATATTATACCCAGTGGCATTGGGAAGCAGTATTTCAGATTTGTTGGTATTCTATTAATTATACATACACACTGTGTATTTCATTCCCTCATTCTCAAAGTTGATTTTTTAAAAATCTTGTTAAATAATACAGTTGCTGAGTATCCATGAAACCTTGTTTCCACTTCAAAAGTCAGTTTTCCCAGGTAACAGAATTCTAGAAGTACTAAAGGAGATTATTCTGCTGTCTTCAATTTGTAACCTGTAATCAATGCTGTGTTCTTCTATTGTTGCTGAGTTGGCGTACAGGAGTCACTGCCTGATAAAATCTGATTTACTGGAAACGAGATATGTCATCTGGCTCAATTCATTAACCCATGCTACCCAACCCCATGAACAGAAGCAGGTAGCCCATGGCCTTAAGCTAAATAAAGCTAGCTTCCTTTTAACGGTTGAGATTGTCAACAGTAGATGAAAAGTAAGCCAAAATGTTTTTTTTCCACTACATATGTTTCATTTGTCACTATCGATGAACCCCTCATCGTACTGTAAGTCAAATTGCATCTGCTTCATCAAAAGCTGTATAAAATGTTTATTTTTATGTATACTTATGACAGTATCAACCATCAGATACCAATTAATCATTTTGAAACCTAAGATGGCCTCTCAGGCTGTGTCCTTCCTTGGTTTAAAGCAAAGCAAATCCATGTACACTCAAGTGAATGATACTTCATATTTATCACAAATTTAATGTAGATTCCTGCAAGGCTCTGTACATTGACCTGAACTATTTTCTTTATATAGTGTATGTCGCAGTGCCTCAATACATAATGTACATGCATAGTTTGAGCAAGAACTGTTGTTGATTCCCATGTAAGAACGTGCTTATGGTAGTTTTTGTTCATCTTAGAAATATTTCCAAGATAAAGGCAATTTTTTTCAAATACAGTATACAGAAAAACTGATAAGTGCATTTTTTATATACAGATTAGATATTTAATACGCACTATTATCTGGTTTACCTAACTGTACACAATACAGAGACTCAAGCTTGTTCAAAATCCTCCTGCAGTTCATTATAGCATATATAGTATGTTAAAGTACTCCTGATCTACAAAGCACTAAAAGGATTAGCTCCAGCATAATTAAGTACAATACTAATAACATACTGTACATGCCAAGCAGAGCACACTGGTCCAAAGATGGCAATTACTTAATAGTTCCAAAAATCTCTATCAGTAGTAAATCTTTTAGTTACAGGGCTCCTAAATTGCTGACCAACCTCCCAAAACATGTAAGAAACTCCGAAACATTCTCAGTCTTTAAATGACGGCTCAACATGTACAGTTTTAGTCACCTTAAATCACAATCTTGCATCTAGTTATTGTGACATTCTCTTTTATATTCACTGTTTGCAGGAATTGTAGCTCCTGCCACCAATCCTCTAACTTTGCTAGTCTTAGCTCCAAGACTTTTTAATTCTGATTTTGTTTTTGGTAACACAGTGCTTATCTCTTGTCCTTGATTGTGTACCTTACTGTGTATGTTACACTACAAGGTAACTTTGATTGGACCTTTCTGTATAACACTTGCTGCACATGCCATTAATAATTGCAATTCTTTAAAACATCCCTATTTTTTTGTTTCTTGGCTGATCAGGTTCTTGCAAGTCTTAGCCTCAGTGTAGCTTCATGCATTCTCTTTCTGCTTTTAAAACAATCTTATTTTTCCAGGAGTGACATTGTGCCCAAAAATTCCAGGTGATTTGTTCCCTTTAACAAACAAAGGTGTTTTCCTAACTATCCTCCTATGGAGAATCACTTCCATGACTCAAACAGATTAGTATGGAACAGTTGCTTCTTAATACATGGCACATCAAAAACTGCTCATTTGTATCCATTCAGGTTTTGGATCGTGGATCGAGTTGCATCTCTGAACATACTGAGTTTAAACAATAGTTGACTTAATTTTGAATTATTTTGTTTTGCCTAAGTACATACATTTTAATTGAAAATATTCTTAAAATGATGCAGTAATACAAAAAGTGAGCATGAACCATTTTAGTTACCTATTATCAGTCTTTTCATTTTATTATCTTCTTCTTCGACTTTCAGTGTTTCTGTTTCTGGTCATCTTAAGAAGTCAAAGGGTCAGGACGGATTTTGGTTACTGAGCAAAATTGCTTAAATTGTAAAACTAAACCAACTGGGACCAACCCATGCTAAGTACTATGGCTCTTGGAAACTGAGCAAAGCATTTCATAGCTGAGATTCAGAAATTTCACAAATCTCTTTTTAAATGTGAGAAAAACACTGTATATTAAGGCATCTTTGGTAAGTTCTGTGACTTTTTGCAATTTGCAAGTAAGCCTGTTTAAGTCTTTTATTGCTAGTCTTTCCCCCTCCAATTTACCATAAGTTAATTCATACTTTATTACTACATAACTGTATAAGATTTCTCACGTCATTCAGTTGAAAAATGCATATCTATTAAGTAAACTTAATCTTGGTATTGACAATGAATTTGAATATACTGTATCTAGCACTTTCCTTTTTTACAGCAGTTATATAATGCATCTCCTCAAATTTAAAAATTAATTCTAGTAACAAATGCATTATAAAAAATATAATATGATATGTTTTAATATTTTAGTATTAATCTTTTATATTTACTGCTACAGTATGTGATCTTTAAAATGTTACATTGCAAAAAAAGTAACAATAATAAAATAAAAATACACTTTTCAAACATAAATGTAATCGCATAGTACATTTCTTTGTAGCGGTTTATGGTATACTTTATTTTATTGTATGCTTTATAGGTCATAGAAACTCTTCAGACTCAACACACATCATCATAGTTGCACTTGATCCAAACGCCATTTGTTTAAGGCTAGTTGAATCTTTTTTATCTAAGACTGTTGCCATGTTATACATGTCAAGCTCTGGTTCAACCTTTCTCTTCTTCAATTTATTAATCATCTGCATAGAAAAGAAAAAAAGCAGACACAGTCAGATACACATGAATTTTGTGTTTTGTATGAGCAGATGTCACTATGAATGATTGTGATATGAATATTAATGAGCCCAGACAGTTTCCCAACATTAGAAAGCATTACCTACTGAAGAGACATTCATTCTTATGCTGGGAAACAGACTGTATACAGTATCTGCAAATGTGTGGCTCTACTGTTGGTACATGTGTAGAAAAGTTTTAAAATGCTATTTGTCCAAAAATGAAATGTGTATTGGAATGAAATGTTAAACAAAAAACATTTATTTTAATTGTAATTATTCAAATGAATTAGATTGAGGAAGAAACAGTAGTCAAAGGCCATTCATTTGCTCAAGCTGACTTCTAAAATGAACTATATTGTTTGTGAAAAATACTTGAAATTGAGAACTGTGGAAATCTTAACATCTACCAAGGATTTTACAAGAAACACAACGAAAACCTTCATTTTGTCAAAAAACAGAGAAGGCTGCAATACAAACTTATTGATGTAAAACTTTTAACAGGTCAAGCCCTTATGGTGCTAGAGGGCATACTTCTAGATTTAAATGTTTAGTCTAGCTCATTTGATTATGGCCATAGCACAGATAGTTAAACTACTGTTCACACTCCAGGATGTTCTATTACAGCTGGGTGCTATATTTCAGTAAAAACTATGGCAATCTCCATTATTATGACCAAATAAAATACAATATTTGGATTTCAAAATAGTACTTACAGTTTTCCAAATGGGTAAATGCAATAATCCATACAAAAGCACAAAGCAATAGATGGCACATTCAAGATACATAGTACATTCAAAAAGTTCAATGTAGTCCACAGATAAATGCTGAAGCTGCTGAAAACAGAAATTGTGTTTTCTATAAACAATTTAATTCACA